ACATGTCATACCAGCTATTTGGCTAATGGAAGATTGTCGGAAAAGTGCCATAACACATTTTAAAGATAATAAATGTCTCTTCGGACAAGACGGTTGTAATTGCGTGTATTATAGGGTTCTAAATTCATTGTTACCAAAATGGACTAAGGGTATATTCATAGTTTTAGCTTTCAAGGTAGGGTTAGTATATATATATATATTTCCAGTAGGGTTAGCATGAATGATGTTAACTTATTTTAGAATATCTGGAATGTTGTTAAGCAACTCTTTTACAAGATGTTGAATATGTACTGCATTTGACATTTAAATAGATCATAAGATATTTGATCCTTTACTTCTATTGGTTTTAATTTCCGATCCAAGCTTTTGATTTTGGGACTAATTAGTGTCACGTTTGTGGTTAAATGGTGGTTTAACTAAGTTTTAGAACTTGAGAATCTCTAGTGTAACCATGGGAAGTAGGCTGTTCATGGTTATGGTTAAAAATCAAACCAAACAGCAATCCGATTAAAAAATATTAAGAATTTTTAGTACTCTCATTAGTGTCTCAATTTATACATAAATTCTTTTTTAATCAATCTAAAAACATACATATTTCTGTATTTTACAAAATTTTAATGATGCCATCAATATTTTATAGTATTTTACGTATGTTGAATTTTCTTATTTGACAAAAAGTCTATAAAGATATTATACTATTTTTAAGAATAGTTTTGAAATATTGCATAATCTTTTCATATTTTTTACATTTCGTATCCAATCAAATTTAATTACATAATCTGAGATTGAGTGAGAAGTTTTTGTTTTTATTGACATACCAATAAACTGATAAAGAAAATTATTGATTATTATTTTGATATTAACAAAAAGCCAGGAAAAGACAAGTCTTTCCTAGGTCTTACTCCAAAAACATTCTTCAATACTCCAAAAACTGTTTGTTAGAGTTTGTTAGAGCAGTTATTAACTGTGTGGTCAAATCATGGTATACTTTCATCAAGAGCCCTAATTTTATCAAAATGCACAGCAATCATCAAATCTTTCGTATTCCTTTTGTCATTATCTCTTACCACAAAAATGATATTAGCTGCTTCCGGCCTGAATTTTTTTCACTCCATCTTCATCGCAACATTGAACACTATAATTCCCCTATAAAGCAGCAATTGTATTCACCCTTTGCTGCTCATGGGGTGAGATTCGAGTTTTGCTACAATGGCTTCATTTGTTTTACAAAGGATACCTATACCTCACCAGTAGTTATCCTCTGGAATCCCGCTAATCGTAGATACAAATGCATCAATATACCCTCTGAGTGCTCCAAATTTACTCATCTAAAACTCGGGTTTCATCAACAAAGCAATGAATATAAAATTTTGAAAGTCCCTTTTTAGATGTTGAGGGATGATGAATCAACGAAAGTTGCTTGGGTTT